GCCTCACGGAGATTTTGTTTTTTATCCTAATAGCTTTATTAACTTTGCAGGTTAAGCACCCTCGGGGTAGTAGACGCGCCACGGCACCCAAGCGAGACCGACGGGGGTAATTTTATTTGTCTCTTGTTTAATTATTCGAAGCCTATATAACAAGGTAAAACGAGGGCGGGAGCCGACGAACGGAGACGACGAACTTGAAAGTAGCATCTTCAGAAATGCGTTATTTAAAAGTTTTTACCAGCGTAAGGGGGGGGGGGCCTCTAAACGAACGCGAGACCGGTGTAGTAGAGCTCGCAGAAAGTTTTTCACTCGAGCTTCGGTCGCGCGTCATAATTAACACGCGGCGCGCTCGTTGAAAATATTTTTCCTTTATCAAACCCGACCGGTGGGCGAAAAAAGGAAGAAGTACTCTATTCTCCGGATACGATCGTGTTTTTATTTTTCATTTACTTTTTTTTTTGTTCAATTTCCTAGATACTTTTCTCAGGAGTACAATATCGATTCGCCGCGGCGTCTCTTTGAGCATTTTCTTAAGCTCCATATAGTCCGTATCGCGCAAATTAACCCGGCGCGCTTTTCTCGATCGTATCGAAAGAGGGCCGCCGTGGGGGGAGGAGGTGGACTATTTCGTTTTACGATGCTTCACCTACAGGCGCTCGAAGCTCGCTTCTTCCCAGCCCCCGGTATATAGAGTACACCTTGTCGAGAGTAATAAAATATAAAAATTACTCGCAGACGCTTAGAGCGCGCGCAGCAGGATTATACGGTGTATCGGGAAAGAGGGAGAGAGAGCACGGCGCAAGCACACAGGATAGGAGCTTTACACGCGATATCTTATAAACGTTATATACGGGAGAGGATATCGCCTTTGAGATGGCGCAAAAATAGCGAGATTTACTTAAGCTGTAAGCACTACTCTCGGGGCTGTGTGTACGGGCCCGCGCGGCTTGTTATATAGAGCGGAGGAACGATCGTTTGCGAGCAGTGGAAGAGAGAGAGAGAGGAATTTATCGCGCGAATTACTCGCAATCGGTGTAAGGTTATAATATATTACTTTGATTAATTCAAATGATCCAAGTCTAATTTCCGATTTAAGCTGGCCAGAAGTTTCTCTCTCTCTTACTCTCTTTGGGATAATACACGCGATTCGTGAAAAAGAGAAAGAGAGGAGAAAAAAAACTTTTCTGATAACTCGCTCTCGAAAAGCCAATAGCTATATACGTACCAGAGAGAGCTATATAGCAACGACGGGCCGAGAGATAAAAGTTCGGAAACTAAAGTGAAAATGTGCATTTTTGTGGCAAAACAAAAAAAAAAGGCGGGGAAGATAGAGAGAAGTGCAACTACAGAGAGCGAGAGTGAACGATATACAGAAAATTCGTGCAAGCGTTACTTTTGATTCAAGGAGTGGAAAGAATCGCAGCTCTATCCATCCATCTATCCATCTCTCTCCATCTCTATCCCTTTTTTTTCATACGTAACGATCTCGAAAACGGACATGACTCGTACCGTACAGAAAAAAAAGAGAGCAAAAAGAAGAGAGAGAGAGGAAAAAAAACAATAAGTTGATGGAAAATTTGCAGTTTTTCGCCGTACGCTCGTGTAATCATTCTCTGGCTCTCGTCCGTATAGTTCCTGAATTTTTTACCCGAGATTATGTATACCCACACACGCATTGTCTGTCTGCTTGTGCAAAAACGAGGTCGTCCGTTGGAACGCATGGCGTTCGAGCTTTTAACGGATGACGCTTGGGGTAATGAAATCAAGCTCTTCAATTGTTTTATATAGGATTCGATAAGTGCGTGTGTGCCTGTGTGAGGGCACGTACAAAAGTAGCGAGAATTACGTACGTAAATGCCGATTGAAATGGGTATTTTTTATTTTTTAAAACGAATTGGGACATTATAACGCCGTTGGCGAAATTATTGATGGTTACTGGTTTTGATTAGCTGACTCTGGCCAACCACTGTATACTTGATTAACTGCTGTCCTATCTGTAAATTGATCTTCATCGCATCTTGAGACAGTTTTCAAACTTTTGGCTCATCCTTGCCTGTATCATATTTAAGTGAGTTAAAACATTTTACACATTGAGTTGCAAGATAAATTATTCCTTTTTACGAAGACATTATTATATTTGCCACTGTTCTGTGTTTAAAAATATCCAATTTTGTTAATTAATTTCAGTAAAAACTCAGCAGTCCTAAATTACGAAAAATGTAGTATTTGACTTGACTTTGTGTAATGTAACTTTGTTGACTTATACAATTATTTTGACTTTGCCACTTGCTGATTTACAGATAAAAAGTACTCGCCATCTAGTGGTGGATGCTGAAAGTGGTATCTATTATCGTATTTTAAAGTGATTTAAAACTGGTTTGAATTTTTTGATACAATCAAATTATCATGTAAAGTGCGCTTGATATTTTTAACATAATTGTAATAAAAACATCCGAAAACACAAATCAGTCAATGACGATATATTTAAAAACATTCTAAATGGTCGTTATTAGATCATTGAACCATTATATTATAGTTGAGGATTTCTACCAGTATTCAAAGTCATTTGAAATGGGACTATTTGCATCGACCGAGAGTAATGCAAAATTTCGCGCTATTCGCGCATTTATTTCGTCTTCAGAAACTTTTACGCGCGCGCGTAATATACGCGACAGAGTATTTCTAACTAACCGACCGACTTGAAAACAGCTGCTTTTTCTCTCTCGCGCGTGTGCCCGCTATACCGCGGAGCATATAGCTCGCTGCGTTCCCTCTCAATAAAGAAGCTTTACACGAGAGCACGTCCAACGAATGCCGCTGTTATCGACTCGTTGCTGCAGTCGTCGTCTCGCGATACGCATTCATTGCGTTACTGATGACGGATATTCAAACGATAATATGAATTTTCATCGGTCAAAAAAATTAAATTTTTTCATTTATCTAGAGAAAAACAACCGATAATGCGACGAAAAAGTGTATCTCATTTTTTGTCCGTTTTCCTCGGGCACGTCGTATCGCCGGATATATGCCGATCGCGCGAGCAATTACTCAGCGAGAGAAGAAAAATACAAAAAAATTACAAGAACCGTTGAAAGAAAAATATATATCCGTAAAACAGCATAAGTTTCCACGAGGCTCCGACTGCTTCTTAGCGCGTGCTGTATATTTCACGCCATGCCAGATGCAAATGAAGAGAGAGAGAGAGAGAGAGAGAATTGCATTATATACGCTCCCGTGTGATGTACACAACGCGGGCCCATAAATCACTCTCCCGGTGTGTGTATATGTGTATACACGAGAGATTAAACGAGGATAGATTAGCTCGTATAATGTCGAAAAAATAGAGCTAGACGCGAGAAATTTGGATGTTAAACTCTCCTCTTTCCGGGCTTCTGCTGCCGGCACGAAAGATATCGGCTATGTTTACGCTGTAATATTATTATTATTATCATTACACTCGAGCTGCGTAACGTCCAATGACATCTAGGCGCGTAACGCTCGAACCCGCAGCTTAGCTCCTTCAACTCGCACATATACGATATATATACCGGGTGTACACAAAGCATCACGATCTTACAGACAACTCAATTACAGCTCGAGATTCTCTCGGATAAATTACGGTATAAGCGTCGTCGTGGCGCGTTGGCGCACGAAATTCCATCAAACGGAAGCCTACACGTAAAGCTCCACCCGATACTCGAGCGTACACTCGTATACTACCAAGGAAGTGCACCCGATATATATCTCGCTCGTGAGCTTTCCTACGAGCGAGATCCGTCCATTTCCATGTAATATACAACAAAGCACATCGGCAGCAGAGTAATCCGAGAGTTCGAGAGGCAATAATCAGGTTAAAAGGATTCGCTATATGTGTACGCGCGACGATGATAGGCTCTCAGTCGTGCCTCTCTGAGTGTATGGGATATATACTACTAGGCAGAGAGAGAGAGAGAGACGTGTCTAGGTCAAACAAAATGGAAAGGATGAAAGAAAGAGAGATAATGGTAGGAACGCAGAGGAAGGGGGAAAAAATAGACGAGCGACGCGATGTCGGGGCTAGGGGTGGCTGAGAAGAAAAAAAGTACGCACATATAGCATACGCTGCTGCTGCCGCCGCCATGTGTGTACGTGCAATGAACGAAAAGAGGTTTATATCGGCCGTGTGCGGAATATATTTTCTTATACACACACACACGAGCACGAGCACATGAGGGCAGTACTACTGTACAGCGGGTGAAACGCTTGATACAGTCCATACCTGCGCGTACGTGAGGAGATTTCGGGCTGCGCGTCCGACTAATATACGTAGCGCGTCTTTTTTTTTTTTTACTCTTTTTTTTTATATCGACGATTTACGAATTATTAACTTTGTCCGTGCGTCTCGTGTACGCCGAGGGGATGCATGATAACGATTTCTTTCTTTCTTTTTTTTTTTTTGGTGCTATAAAAGCGCGCGTGGCTGGACTCGAGCAATCGTTGAATTTGTGCGAGAGAGGCAGGCCGGTAAGAGCTTGTGGAGAAGACAAAAGGTCGTGGGCTCTTAAAGATCGTGATTCGGATCTTGATTGCAGCAAGATATATTCGGGATTTATGCACCGACGATAAAGTTTTTCCACCGGAACACTGGACTCTCTCCAGCTCTCGAAGCTTTTATTCCTCAGCAGCAGTCCGCGCAACCTCTCTCTCTGGGAACTTGGCGCGCGCGCAAGAGAGAGAAGTAGTTTAAAATCTTATATACAAAGTTTTGATCGAGTAAAACGCGTTTTTTCTCGCTCTTCTTTTACTCGTTCAACTTCATCTCCGTGTAATATTCGCGCTCTATGGAGAGGCTTATAAAGTAAAGCCGCTCTATCTCGAGAGTATAAGGATATCCCGGCCCAGCAGCTTATAAACTATCATTGAAAAATAAAAAAAAAATCACGCGCGGCATGCAGAAAGGATTAAAAATTGTTTTTGTTTTTCATTTCGACATTATAAGAGAGGAACAAACTTGCACTTACCTCCAGGTGAGATTGAGATGCTTCCAGGGCGTGCCGTGCAGGGTGTAGCGCTTGTAGCGCCTCAGCTGGCTGGGGTCGTGGTGCTGCTCCCTCGGATCCGGCTTGTCGGCGAGGCCGCAGCGACGACTTCGCATGAGCCTCTGCGTGGCTTCGTCGAGCTGGCCCGTCTCCGGTACGCCGCCGAATCGCTGTTGTCGTTGTTTTATCGAACGCCAATAAACCGGAAACACAGTAAGCAGGGATTTTCGGTTTGAGAAAAATATTTCTGTCGTCGCGCAAAATATATTCGTGCGCCATGCATAGGCCAGAGCAAGCACGTATACGTTTTACGCTAGAGAGATATTTACCACTTTTTTTTTTTTTTTTTTTTCGAATTCGTCGGAATGCGACAAAGCGGAAAAAAGTAAAAGTCATCGAAGTGAATATTTTTTCCCCGTGCCACGCGCGCTCTCTTTTGAACACGATTTATATGATATTTTGTTCGTAGGAAGACGAGCCGGGGGAAAGGGGAGGAAAAAAAAATCTCAATGCATAAAAATGAAAATGTCAGGAGTCGAAAAGAAGAAAAATCATCGTACGCATACTCTATGCACGGACGTCAGTATACAGCAGCAGCAGCGGCAGTAGCCCGCAGGACTACGAGAAAGGAAATTTATTCATGTATTAAATATTTTAATACACGGCGCGTTCGACAAACAATGTCTACATGCTCGCTACTCCGGCTCGCTTAAAACTCCCTCTCGCTCGCCGTTCAGTTTTTTACGATTATTATGCAGACGCGAGAGCGGGCGAGCGAGTGAAAAAGTTTCATAAATCTCTCTCTTTTTCTCGCGGAGATGTATAGCAAATTCCATTTGCGTGGGGGCGGCCTGGGTCTTGTGTCTTTATAAGTCTCTCTGTGTGTGTATAGTACTCGATGTTCAACGGAAGCTAATACACACATTCGAGCGCGAAAGATCAAACGCCAAAGGATATGAGAAGGAGAGAGAGAGAGAGAAGGGGTGAAAAAAAAGGAGTACGAAATAGCGCGCGCGCGCGGAAATCGAAAAAGCACCGGGCGTATAAAAGCAGCAGCTGCTGCAGCAGCAGCAGCCACGAAGCTCAAAGGCTAAAGATATGCGCTCGAACGCATACCAAAGCTCTCTCTCCTTTCTCCTTGACCTGTAATTCATTTTTCAAAAGCGAAGCTCTTTGTTTCTTCATTGATACGGCGATGCCGTTTGTGGCCCAACGCAAACTTGTTTGTTTATTTATATTTACTCTTGTTTTTTTTCTTTTCTGATTCGATGGAGGAGAATCAATATTAGCGACCTACAAAAACGTTAATTAATCCAATTGAAGCTTTAAAACGAGGAGACAGCCAATACAATTAAGATTTGGATTTGCTCAGGTCTCGAGCGGAATTGCTTTGCCCAGAGAGTGGGTACACACGGAGCAAGGCATTCCGTGTTTGAGCACCCGGTACACACACAGTGACTATTCTGCTGCTGCTGCTGCTGCTGCTGCTGCTGCTGCTGTTGCTGCCAAAGACAGATACAGAGGGTTTGCTCAATTGACTTTTTGTTTAGCTTTAGTATACCCAAAATCTGAGATAAATGGCATCGAGACAGATTTTCTAGGAATTGAAAATTTTCCACCCCCAAAATTATGACATACAATAGACTAGTTCGAAGAACAACATCGGTTACGGTGCATTACCGCGCGACTCGAGTATGATGAATTATTCGTGGATGAGTCGATGTAATACTCGTTCGAGCCGAAACATCTAAACTCTCGATACGTATATATTCGCGCAGCCATATTTTTCACGTTCCACGGCTACACATATTGTTTCATTTGTTTGCTCGCCTGCGCGCGGCTGGGTGGGGAGGCGCAGGATGAAAAAAAGCTGAGAGTGCTATTGCGATGAGTTGTAAGCAACGATTTTCTATTGAAACGGGGGGATGTGTCTGTGCGCCAGCATCGAGGATGAATATTTTTCAATAGTTCGCGTCTATATCTCTCGCTCTGCGGTTGGAATTTTTCGACGCCGATTAACTCTCGACGCCCCGCGTACATATCGCGCGGATATATCGCAAAGTTAAATATTTGCTCGATTGTGATTCATTCGATTTATACTTTTTTCGGTTCGCAGCGTATAGTGTATTTCGCCTCGATCGCATATGTAGGAAAGAGAGAGAAGGAGAGGGAGAGAAAAATCAAATATTATTCCGTGCACATCGAGCGAAATGATCGACATTTGACAATTCGCTATAAGGCCGCCGTCGGCACGTACGCGCGTATATTTTATAAATATATGAAACGTTTCGAAATAGATAATGCAACTTCTCATCAATCAATGCTTCGACTTTGGCTGCACGAGGAAAGCGTATAGTAGTTAGATATTAATTCAAGACCCATACGAAAAATCGAAAAAAGCATGATCTATCAAGTAGGCTCCTGTCATAGCAGTGGAAACGGATGCTATTTTTTTAGTTTTCATAGCAAATGATGTATGCTCTATGTGAAATGTCTCGATTGAAAAGTTCGTCGCAAGTAGTAGTACAAATAATATTTATTCTTTGATGCAATTTCTACTTCATATTATTATATTGTTTGACCGCTTCTAATTGAATGTAGCCCGAACAAAATATCATCGCTGAATTTCGACACCAGATGGCAATACAAAAACCTATTTCAAATTTTGGTGAGTTTTTGTTATAGTATACCCAGGAAAGGCTCCAATTTAAATAGAAATCATTGATATTAATTTGATTTATAAATTGATATTAAAATTTTAATTTTTCTTTCGAGATTAAATACTCACGGCTAATCTTTCTGTAATAATTCTACATAACTAGTATAATAATGCGCTCCTAATCCTTTTCGTAATGCCAAAATTCGTTTGACCACATTCAGGGCAAGTCAATCTTACTTGATTCGGGTGGTCAATTATATTGGTTAAAAATATCCTCGTGGGAGATTCACTTACAAGGAGACCACATGAGATGCGGGTCACCAAATGTCCTGAAAATTTTTTTCTGGTCTGCTGGTACCTAGTAATGAAGCACCCTATGCTTAATTTGATCCAATGGGCCTCAGGGCCTATTTTAAAAATCATTTTCTAATTTTTTGAAAAATATTTGTGATTTTCTAACTCGTAACAGGACATCTTTAAAAAAAAATTGCATAATGCACAAGTATTAGAATTAGTCAAAGAATACATTTGAATTTTTTCAGAATTTTTGAGACCTGCCATCACCTACTTTCGAAGGTCTCTGAAATTCTTAAGAAAATCGTAAAAGCGCGTCAAATTTGGGCCTTTGAAAATAAGTGATAGCAGGTCTCAAAAATTCTGAAAAAATTCAAATTCATTCTTTGACTAATTCTAAGACTTGTGCATTATGGAATTTTTCGTGTAAGATGTCCTTAGAAGTTTCCTTAGAGTTAGAAAATCACAAAGATTTTTCAATACATAAGAGAATGATTTTTAAAATGGGCCCTAAGGCCCATTGGATCAAACTAAGCATAGGGGGCTTCATTATTAGGTACCAGCAGACCAGAAAAAAATTTTTCAGGACATTTGGTGACCCGCATCTCATGTGGTCTCCTTGTTAGATGACATGGATAAGTAAAGCGGGATATTCCTCCGAAATAGTACCTTCTACTCTGTGTGATAATTTATACTGTGAAATTGTTTATTATATAGATAAGCCTTAGCTACAAGGCCTGCTTTCATTATTTTAACAGCTATAATAATCCACATCAAAAATCTATCTTATTGAATTACGATTGTGCATGAATATTCTTATTAATAGTAATTTTAAAAAACATCACTGCTTGCGAGTTTCGCGAAAAAATCATCTTCCGCCATCTATTGGCGAATTATCAACTTGAACGATATTATGAGTTTATCTATCCAACATTTTAACTTTCTGTAGAGAACACAGCTTTTTTGTAATGCGTACAGGATATTGTAAACTTGTACGGTAACGTTTATGAAATTATAGTACAAAGTTTTATAACTAGAGGCGACATTTAGACCGGTTTAAGCACGTCGGATCAGTGATTATCGCTTCAAAAACTAATAATTTATTCTCGTTTTAAAAAGAAACATGGTACATAATTAAATATATAATAAATGCTACAAAATACATGCGCATGATACGTAAGGCAATCCTCTGAGAGAGAAAATAAATATGGGCCAAACAAAAAGTAGAAAAGATAGCAATACGAAATAATATTGAAAACATAATAGCAGCTACGTAGTTTATACCATGTACATGAAACTTTTCGAAACAGATAATGCAAATCTCCAATCAATCACGCGCGCTCGAGACCGACGCTCGTTATCGTTGATCAAGCGTGCTTTTTTTATTATTAAAAAATATCGAATTCAGAACTCATCGCTTCGGTCGCTTTTTTTCCTCGCCCCCTTTTTTTTTTTTGTTACATCTCTCGCGCGTAACATAAAATTGATGCACTCGTGGCGCGTCAGCGCGATTTCGACGCCGCCGCATCTCCGCTGCATTATTATACAACAGATGCAGTTGCATAAATGCATGCACGGGGCACTGTCGATCGGAAGTCACGATCGGAGAGCTGTATCGCACATTCGATATGAATCATAGATCATCGAGCGAGTGGCACAAAAAAAAACGAAAGAGAGAGAGAGAGAGAGAGAGACAGACAGAGTAAAAATGTATATAGGATATTATGTATCTGGACTGACCTGTAAACTTCTGATGGCGTCTCGCAGCTGATCGTCCGTACGAAGATTTCCGGTCTCGAGGCCGCTTTGCGGCAGATAGCCGAATTTCATTAAGTAATTTTGCTGCAACAGAAAACAAGAGATCAATCATTATTATTCATCGTGAGCTGTATGATTCATTAATATAAAGTTCATTATTCATCGTAACGGATTACTACTATACTTTTAATGCAGTACGACTGTGACCCAAGCGTAATTAATAATGCCCGGGGTAAATTCGCAAAAACGCAATACCACACACCGTATATATATAATAAGCACGACCGACTCGAGCGAGTAGAGGTAATAATCGCGAGTACAGAACTTGCTGCCTGCGGAGAGTAGGGAAAATGAGATGCTTCGTTATCGTCGAGCTCTTATTTTGCGCCGCGATACGAACGGCGTCGCCGCTGCGTTTCCTCGCATCTCGCTCGCCGTACGTAGTTTTGTTTACACGCGGAAACGTTTCATTGTTTCGAGTTGAAAACTTTAGCCTTTAGCCGGCCTGTGCCTGTATTATATATATATGGCTAAATGCGCGTACGCGTTAGTATGCACGAACGATAAATCGATATATTCCGCGCGTATAAAAGTTACGCGCGTGTATATATGCGTGGCAGCGATATCAACGCGAATATATAGGTCGTATAGTCCTGGCGGTGCAGATATAAACAATCGCTCGACGCTGTTTGCGAGGTAAACACTCGTTTATATGAGAAATAGAGAGAGAGAGAGAACCAGAGCGAGAGGGCAAGTATTGACAATCTCGAAATACCAATGAAACTATGCGTCGAAGCTGCATATAGGTTTAATCGATCGTTAAGCCTCTCTCTCTCTCTCTCTCTCTCTCTCTGCAAGCTCTCGGTGTAAAATGGTAAAGAGCGAAGCTACTTTTCATCGCTGTAGCCCCGCATACGAAGGGAAATGAAAAGCTGTCTTATTTTACGATATCAACTCGAACACACACATTCGTTCAAAAAATACGCTGCCTAAAGAAAGCCTTAAGCGTTACTATAGAGAAGAAAATTCGAAAGAGGAGCTGCGAAGACACGCACAACGACGACGACGACGACGACGTGAGAACGTATTATATACGCAAACAAGATCCTTAAAAGCCAGATAACTCTTATCCAAGCTCCTATGCTCTATAGCTTCGTCTCTCGGTTGAAAAGTTTCGATGAGTAGGTTACAGTGGCTAGTGGCTATATACGCTTCGGACTCGCCACGCGTATCTATATACGTACACATGGGCAGAGAAAGAGGAGAGAGAGAGAGAGAGAACCTAGTCAATCTTCCCTCCCTTCTCTCTCTCTCACTCTATCTTTCTCTTTAAGGCAACTAGTCTTCCGTTTAATTATTCATTAGTCTCTCGCTACTACTACTACTACTACTACTACTACTACTACTACTACTACTACTACTACTACTACGGTGTACTACGGGTCAACGAGCAGACGAGCTATTTTCGTTCGGTTCTGCAACGAAAATACCTCACATTCACGCACACACATCACACACACACGCGCTGCACACGTAAACGCGTGGGTGCAGAAAGTTAGCTCTCACTGCTATACTACTGGAGCTGCGCGCCGAGCCCTCTGTACTCTGTCCTGCTACGCGCGTTGTAAAAGGAGCTTTCATTAGCACATAGTTTAGCTCGGCTCTTGGGTGCNATATATATATATATATATATATATATACATCCATAGAGTCGCGCGTATACGGTACTATAAGGCAGCAGCAGCAGCTCGACTCGTGCGAGCTCTACTATTGTACAAAGGTGAGAGATGTATCGGTATATACGGTCGTGTGTGTGTGTTGCACGCAGCGCGTGACACGGCAACTGCTGATACACGTTATATAGCAACTGCAGCAGCGCACACGACGGCACCGGAAACTCGTCGCGCGGAATAACAACGACTCGTGACTGTATTACGATATGCGGTAGGGGCTTCGGAACACGCGTCATTTTTTTTTTCATTCCTTATAGCGTTATAGAAATATGTCCCTCGGCCCGCGAACCCTTTTACCAGCTCGTGAGAGAGGGTACGATTTTTTTTATTAAATTTTTAATCGTTCGTTTTCTTCACTTTTTAATCATTACTTTCGTGTTTTCTTCGTTTCTTTTTCGCGCGCACGCACGGGTACGAACGCGTGCACTTTGAAAAATAATAATCTCGACTCCGGTGTCAAATTCGAGGAATCGAATAACGCGTGGCGACACAGCAGCAGTACGAGCAAATCTATAGATTCGAATACGATTTTTACGTATATATGAAAAGAAACTTTTTATAATTCGCAGTGCGCGATCGGAGCCTAACAATATATCGAGCATATACAGGGTATACCGATACGTTCGCGGCACGAGTATTAAATTCTTCAGCGCGTCTCGCGACGTACAGTTTTAATCTTTCTTTTGTTCCGATTCACGCGCGCCTGTTCGGCTTTCTTACGCGTTTGCGATTTCATAAGTGTAAATTGAAAAACGTTACGTTCGATGTTTCGAATCGACGAAGATTAAAAATGTTATCAAAGTGCAGAGCGATATCGATTGTTACGTTACCTGCGCTTCTTCGTCCGTTCGTTCGTTCGGATCAACGCGACGTTCGAATTTCGGGTACCATCGGTATTGAATTATTCATAGCGCATACCGATCCATACGTAATTTACACGTTTAAACGATATGTGCGCGGTGTGTGTGTGTGCACAACCGATGCGGCATTTTATGCTATTGTTTCTCGTCCGACTCCACAAATTCGGATTGTCCGCGTTGATGTTTGATGTTGCTGCTGCTGCGTATACATGTAATATATATTCGTTTCAGCTCGCTCGCCGAGTGCAAATTACCATCGTATATTTCACACTTATCAGCGGCGATACATAAATAGATTACACTATTTACCTCGTAACTTTGCTTCTTTCCCCGCCGTTCTTTCTCTTTTTCGCTCGTGGCCGCACACACACTCGCACACACTCGCACATACATGGATACATATATACGCACACGAATAAAAAGACATCGGAAAAAAGTAATGGCTCAAGTGCTGAAAAACTACCCTGCCGGCTAGCAGCGGAGGAGCTTTCGCCCGAGCTTTTACGATGTTTGTCCGGAAAACATTATTTTCCAGCCTTTTTCCTTTCTCTCGGCTCGCTCACTCACTCTATCTCTCTCTCGGGCGCACACACACACACGTACAGATAATACGTATTTAGCGCAAAATGCGTCATGTTTGTTTTTCAGGCTAATGCGCGATATATATAGCGAAGTGAGCCGTTCGCCACCCATATATATACACTCGCGAGCCTGCGTTTGTATACAAACATCCATATAGATATACGGTGCACGACGCAACAACCGCGTAATCTGCTTATCGACTCGAATAAACGTGAAATGTTATATGCGTAAATTATGCATAGATGTATTATGCAGAATAATAGCATAATTACATTTTGCACGCAAATATTATGAATATTTTGCTAATTATCCCGGTGCTAATGTCATTTGCCCCACGTGCATATATATTCGCGTCTCGAACTTTGGGATCGTCGATGAAGAAATAAATTTTGACTCTCCTCCCCGCCTCAATGGCAACCGTTAATCTTTGGAATTATACATAAATGATGTGGAAAAATGGAGCTACGTTATTCTCCATTCGATGATACAATGAATACAATACAAATGTACATATTATTACCGGTGTGAAATAATTTACACTCGTGGTTACAATAAAATCGAGATAGTCTAAATTTATCGACTTTAACATTGGTCGGTAAATTATAAATGAGTACAGTGGCTTTACTCAAGGTCAAACGAACTCTCGCAAAGTTTTACAAAAACGTCAAATTAACGATGATATTACGAAAAAAAAAGAAGAATAATGAAAAAACCATCAAGTGGCTTTGCGGGTCGATTGTTCCGACGTGCAATTTTAATCTCTCGGTCGAGAGACGCGTTGAAAGATTCTTAAAAAGACAGAAAAAGAGACCAGCGAGCAAAGCTTTTTCTCGCTCGGACGGTTCGAGGATGAAAGCCTACTCCCCCGGTCCGAACTACGAGGTATTTTACAGGACACGTAGCGAGAGAGATAAGTGTCACAACTGTCGCTGGCGTCAACGGGCTACTCTTCGCTTTTTTCCCGCTATTCGCTCTCGTTTTTTTTCTTTCTTTCTTTTATTATCGTTTTTGCTTTTTTCTGTACATTTATGGCTCGGACGTTAAACCGTACAGATTTTTATCGAAAAAAGAAGAGACAAATTAATTTCGAGCAGTTGTAGAACGAAAAACAAAAAAGCAGAAGCAAGTGGCAATTCCCCGGAGAACAATATCCACTAATAATGTATCGATGAATTAGCCACGATTGCGATTTATGCATGCATCGATATCGTCCTGTAGTAGAATATATATTGGGTCGCACTGCTGCTGCTGCTGCAGCTGCTCTTGTTGGCTTCCCAACTATCGGTCGAAAACGTAATTTCGCTTTCGAAGCTCTGGTCGCCGCCGCCGCCGCCTCTCGATCGTAATAATATCCTCGGAGCTCTACAACGGCGGCAGCAGCAGCTTTCACAGAAGCTGAGTGCCGTATATACCGCACGGTGATCGATTGAATTTTCCGATGCAACTGTGAGCGCGCACCGGGGCGGGAGAGGCGAGTGTCGGTGTACTTCGGAAAATTTGTACCCACTCTCTCTCTACCCCTTGTGCGCAGTTGTAGGGCTTAATCCAAGGCGACGTTGCCTGTTGTGTATACGCACGACGAGCTCGAGCTTCTGCTGCTGCTATTGTGTGGTTATACGAGACACGGCGTTGGCTTACGGGTATTTATAGGGAAACATTATATCGTGATTACGTAGACGTAAGTGTCGATGAATTTTTAATTCAAAAGCTTGACGATCAAATGTATTTTCAATTAATTTTAGTAAAAGATTATTTCTTCGATAGCAGTTCGCACTAGATTTAGTTTTTTAATTTATTCAAAGTTTTGAATTCAATTGATTGCTATTCTTATCAAGTATCATTTAATTCATTTTACGTACACCATGTGCGTGAATGATTCAAGCGCTGTCATGACAAAAGGACATATTTT